TGAAGTCAGTGTGGAGCAGAAAATGGGGATAGTGAGGTCTCATTTGATTCCCAGGTTTTGGAAATTGTGCAGCTCCCAACTTACTCTACCTTGGGATTCTAACTCATCTTTAATTATGAATGTCTCAGTGATACCCAGTGTAGACTTTATGTAAGTTCTTATAATAAGGGCAATAATAGGACTTGGTAATGTTAAACATACTGCACAAATACAAGTTTTTTTGTATGTTTATTAGTATGCTATTATAATTTTCTATTAGCCAAGTCATAGAACTGAAAGTTGAATTGAATTGATTTCATAGTAAGCTTTCTTTATTATGTGGTTTTCATAAGTTCATCTTAGAAGTGTGTGATTTGACATTCATCTTCATTTGTTTCCTCTGCCTTTCCTTTCATAACAATACTGATGAGTAGAAAATAGCGTAAGGATAACAATCAAGTAATAATTATGATTAATATTTCACATTTCCATATAGTTTTAAGTTTTACAGTGTATTATCATTTGAATGATTCACTAACTATGTAGATAGGCCTTTAGTATTTGAGAGTTAATATTATACAAATATGAAATTAGTAATCATAGTAAAACATTTTGCTGTTATATTTTTTATGCAATCATAATCAGTAATCAAAGGAAATAGTATGTGCTGACATATTCTATTAGGTTAAAGGTTAGAATTTGAAACAATATAAACAAGAAAAATTTAAAATCTAGGTTGGAGATTATCACATAAAGTTAGTGTTGAAAAGCATCTTAAAGACAGTGTAATTCATCCTTCTTGTCATACAAATGAGAAAACTAAAGCCCAGACCCATGAAATGAAACGTGATAAACTGTCCATATCCCAGAATGTCTTCTTATTCTCACTTGTTTGTGACAATGCATATCCTATCCAGTTGAGATAGAGAACCGCTGGTTATTGATCTGCATACAGGTCATTTGTAAAGGGCTTATTCTCAGAATTACATTGTCAGAGAAAGAAGTCAGTGTGTATATCATTTGTATGAGTACTTTGCTACTGAATGACTAAAAACCTTATAACTAGCTTAAGCTCCCCTCCCCCACAGAAAAGTGAAGTATTCAGAGAATGTGTTGGTACATGTAAAAAAAAATGTCTAACCATAGATTTTTAGGCATGAAGGCTTTTTGCATGGCTGGATCTAGGGGTTCGAAGTCGGTCATCATGACTTAGTCTTTATTGGCTCAGCTTTCCTTTAGGTTACCTTCATTCTCAGATAAATTCTTTCACAGGACTTTGGGGGAAAATATAGAACTAGTGGTACTGATTAGAGATAAGGAAGAGAGGTTATGTTTAGAGTAGAATATATTATCTGGAGTTCTTCAGAACTTGAAATAGCTCAAATAGGATTTTGTTACAGATGATAAAGGAACAACTTAAGCTTTTGTGACACTCCACAATGCTGTCATGTTTTGGAGGCATCAGGATTTCAAGTGTTCATGATATTTATGCAATTATGACAATCACACTGGTACCTACACAAGAACAGGTCTTGGGAAAAAATATAGAGCTAGAAAATAACTGGGAAGTTATGGCTAACTATTTTTTTTTTTCCTTTTTTTGTCTTTTTTCATGACCGGCAACGGATCGCAACCCTCAGTG